CGTACATTTTAGTTAAGCGATTTATTTAGGTCAACATAATTTGCGTCATTCACTTTAGTTTTGAGCAATGGACAGTTGACGTTCGCTCAGAACACGATAGACGCGTTCTATATCATTATCAATATCATTATATAATATCATTATTTATTTTAAATAAAATAATTTTTCCTATCAACTATCATTTAAAGGTGTTCCGTACATCTTTATGGTCCTTCGAGCTCTGTAGCGGGTACCTGAAATTCGGGTTTTAACGACCGGAAAAAGTGTTTCCGCTCAGTGACCTATTGCGACATAGTGCACTAAGTGACGTGTGCAATAGCTTTCCAGTCTATTTGTTAGTCAATAAGTGTGCAGCATCATTTCATTATCAATAAGCTCCGGTCATCGGTGTCACAAAGCATCAAGGATCAAGCAGCATTTGTGGGCGTAGCGAGTCTTGGGGCGCCGCCCAGCGGTAGCAGCTTGGAGCGCATCAGGAGAATCTAAGTCTTCGTTGGGTACTTACCACCACTACAGCACGAACGCGCCAACCACCTCTGCACAATCAGCAACCAGCATCATATCAGGTAAGATCATTCCATTTTAGTTATCTCTATATCATGATGTCTGTCAACGATGCCCTCACTACGCAGCAGCAGCTATCAACAGCAATTGAAAATTTGTATACTAATTTCAAGAAGGACGGGTCTGATAGGAAGACTCCAGACTATATCAAACGCAGATTAAACACTCTAGACAACTATTGGTTGGAGTATGAGAAGAATTATCAGCATTTATCACAACTGGATATGGATGTACCAAGCAGAGAAAGAATAGATCAAGAACGTGAAAGATTGAAGGAGAGATTTGACAACATTAGAGCGCATATCCAAAACTATCAGCCTTTGACAGAGGATAGACCTGGAACAACACTGTTAAAGCCCCCTACATTTGTCTCTAAAACAAATTCAATCACGCCACAAATAAGTACAAGATCAACATCGAGCAAAACAGAAGAAATGTTGAAAAAACAGAATAGCAATTTTAAAGCATTTCAACGAACACTATCAAATATCAACCTGGAATTAGTATCAGAGAAATGGGAATTCGAAGACTTGTTACGTACTCTCCAGTCTCGTTGGGCAGCTATCGATGCCTTACACTGGGAGCTGGATAGCGAATTGGATGGTTCCAATGAAGCGTATGAAGAAACCTTCAGCTTCTATGAACAAAAATTTAGCCAAGTCAAGAAAGATATCAATACAAAGATGTGGTCTGAAAGTCACCGAGAAAAGTCCACACCCCAGATGGACATACCTACGTTCACTGGCAATTATCATCAGTGGGTATCATTCAAGGATTTGTTTTGCGAAGCAGTTCATACCAATCGAACCTTGTCAAATGCCCAAAAAATGCAGTTTTTGAAAAGTAAACTTAGAGGGGAACCGGAAAAAAATGGTACAGCATCTGCATATCAGTTCCGACAACTATCAAGTTTGTTGGGATTTGTTGAATCATCGATACAATAATAACAAATTAATTTTTGGGTCTCATATCAACATTCTTTTAAATTTACCTATCGCTCAACAGCAATCAGCAGCACATATTAAGAAAATTTATGACAGCGTAAACGAAAGCCTAAATGCCATAAAAAATCTAGGCATAGACATAAGTTCATGGGATCCTTTGGTGGTACATATATTGTCTCAAAAACTAGATGCCGAGACTCACAAAGACTACATCGAATCCCTAAAGAATCCTAGGGATTTACCAACTTTAGCATATTTTTTAAATTTTTTGGAAAATAAATTTACGTCACTAGAATCATCCCGACGCAAACAAGACTCCACAACAAAATCTTCTCAGCCTGAAACAACATCTCATCAAAAGAAGCCTCATTATTTTAAATCATTCACCAGCAATCAAAATCAAGTCACAAATTATGCACAGAAAAACTCACAAACAGGATGTCCACTATGCAAAAATGAAAACCACGGCATATTTCACTGCAGCAACTTTCTCAAATTACAACCAACGGAAAGGCGAAATACAATTGCGAAATTGAAATATTGCTTCAATTGTCTTTACGATCACTACGGCAAAAATTGCATATCGGCAAAACGTTGCCGCGAGTGTAATGGCCGACATAACACACTCATACACGAGGCCTACGTGAAGCCGTTGACCTCAACAACAGAACAACGTAGAAATACTAGCAACGTGTCACAAAATAATATAAATTAAACCCTCTTAGCAACAGTATTAGTAAAAGTACAGTGTGTTAATGGCACTTATGTCAAAATTCGAGCGCTGATTGATCAGGGTTCCCAGACCTCCCTGATTACTGAGAAGGCAGCTCGAATGTTACAACTTCCTCGACAGAGGTGCAAAGGTGTCATTTTCGGAGTAGGAGCAAAGGAAAACAACTGTAAAGGTGTTATTAACATAACTTGCTCATCGGCTTACAGCGACTATCAGTTTACATCAGATGTGTTTATCATGAAAAACTTAATTAACAATCTGCCCAACAAGACATTCGACAAACCAGACTGGTCATATCTAGAAAATATTCAACTAGCCGATCCTGAATTCAACGTGAGCCGCCCAGTAGCTTGTTGCTGGGGGCTGAACTCTATTCTTCTATCATATTAGGCGGTATCATTTCATCACAACAATCACAACCTGTGGCACAGCAAACACGTCTCGGGTGGATTTTATGTGGCAACGTAAAATCCTATCAATGCAACGTTATAATGAACCATATGGATGAGATTCACCGTTTTTGGGAGATAGAAAACATACCTGAAGAACTCACCATGACCCAAGAAGATGCTCAATGCCTGGAGTATTTCAAAAACACGACAACAAGGCAAGAAAATGGGAAATACATAGTTAGATTGCCATTTATATCAGAAGCAGTTCAAAAATTGGGAGAATCAAAATCAAGAGCAATAGCGCAGTTTAAACAGTTAGAAAAAAAATTTACTTACCGAAAAGATATTGAAAAAGAATATAAATCATTTATCCACGAGTACTTGGAATTAGGTCATATGAAAATGTCACCATGCAACAGACGCCTGTCTACAGTCTGCATTTACCACATCATTGCATTCAACGACCGGAGTCAACAACAACTTCGCTTCGAGTAGTCTTTAACGGAGCGTCAAAAACTTCGAGCGGCTTAAGCTAGAACGACGTTATGTACCAGGGTCCCAACCTGCAACAGGACCTGTTATCACTAATTATCACCTGGCGACAGTACCAAAATGCCTACACCGCTGACATCGAGAAAATGTTTCGGCAAATTCTCATTCACGAAGAAGATCAGAGATATCAAAGAATCATATGGAGAAACCAACTGAAACTTTACAAGAATATCAATTAGCTACTGTCACATATGGAACTAAAGCAGCACCATTTCTTGCCATGATGGTATTGAAACAGCTAGCCAAAGATGAAGGTCATAATTATCAGGAAATCCCAGCAGCGAAGGTCCTGCAAGAACATTTTTATATGGACGACCTGATCAGTGGGAGTCATGACCTCGCATCAGCTAAAAAGTTACAATCAGACTTAAAAAACTTATTAAAAGCAGATAAAGGATTTACTTTAAGAAAATGGTCAGGCAATACACCGTGTCTTCTAGAGGGAGTCAGCACAGCAAATACCAACCAGCAAGCATATAACTTCAAAACTGAAGTATCTACAAAAACCTTAGGCCTGCAATGGCTTACGCGATCAGATCAGCTCACTTTTGACTTGAAGATCGATTTATCAACATCAAAACTAACGAAACGAAGCTTGTTATCAAATATCTCAAAGCTCTACGACCCAGTAGGATTTTTAACGCCAGTTAGCACAAAATTGAAATTATTATTCCAAAAAATTTGGCAATATGACTTAAAATGGGACGACGAGCTTCCTCATGAGATTCAAGTGGATTGGACGAAGATCGAAGAAGATATCAAAAATATATCACAGATACGTATACCAAATAGAGCATGCAATTATCGGAACTTTTCGATAATCGATAATTCAATTTTTATCGGTTTTTTTTTCGATAAAAACCGAGAATTACCGATTTACATTAAAAAAATACCTGTCTCTTAAAATTGCTTTCTTTGTGCATTCTACTCTCTACAAGAAAATTTATTGTTTTTATAATTCAATGAAATACGTTATTTAATTAAAAATATGGTTTTATTTCCATAAAACTAAAAATCAATATAGAAAAAACAAGTCTTAATCATAATAGCACTAGCTATACTACTATCTTTTTCTCACAAACAAAAACAAAAAAATATATAAACAATAAAATAAAATATTAATATTAACCTATTACTTAACATTTTTTGGTTTCATTAGGAATCAATTATTGTAACATTTAAATCAGTCGTTTAATTTAGAATAATTTGTAGGTATATTATTAACATACATAATCTATTTACAATTTTTTTGTTGTTGGAAATAAGTGCGAAGAAACGACAAGCAATTTATAGTTTTGTCGCTAAGGCTTGTGCGCAGTTTATTACATAATATTCCAGCCGCAGAAAAAGCGCGTTCACTCTCTACACTTGGCTTAATTGAACGAATCCATCGATAAGCTTTTGACAGCAATTGGCCTCGATCACCTCCATTTTCAAATAACAGCATTTCAACCTTCAGTAGTGTCAATAAGTCTTCTTTAGACGTTGAAAGATTTCCAATTCCAACTCTTCTCGTGTCATCAAAGATAATTTTGCTGATTTGTTGGTTAATTAATTCTTTATTTGATAATGAGGAATTGCTGCCGACTTCATTCTGCGAATCATCAGTAGGTAAGTCATTGACATCGTTGCAAGTAAAAGATTGTGCGGCCGAATCGTATTTTAGAAGCCCCAATACCATCTCTTGCAGACAATCGTTAGGCAAGCGCGGATAAACATCTGCGTCATATTCATTTTCTTCAAAATATGTTGCTGGGTTGTGAAGGTATTGCATTAGACTTGCAACTGGTAGCCGCCTTTGTTTGATCCTTTTGCTCAGACTTGCATGAAGCTCCTTAATAAGCAACGAGTTTCAAGTTTTTTAAGTGCAAAAATCATGGCAGCATCAGCACTAAGCAGAGTAGCATCTTCGCGACAAACAGCTTCAACAGTAACTTTCATTACATCGAGATTCTCATAAATGTCTTCGAGAATAGACCACTCCACTTCATTAATCTGGATATCACATTTTACATCAATGAGTGCTTTTAAGACTGCTCTTTTCACTTTAATAAACCTACCAATCATATTGCAAAGAGTACTCCAGCGCGTCTTGCAGTCTAATATCAGTGCGTATTCTTTACCAAGCTCCATTTTTATGTAATTTTGAAGAATATCGGATTTCGTTGGTGACTTTCTGAACATCCGCACAATATTCCTCACCTTTTCTACAACAAGCCCAAACTTAATATTTGTCTCCACGTCAACTGTTACAGTTGGAGCTTGCTCTATTTGAAATCCACCAGTCTCAGTATCATCTTCAGTGCCAATGCAAACAGTGTTCAGATTATTTTCGTTTTCGGCAAGTTCTTCTTGAGCCTCATTTACGTTTTCTTGATTTTTTACGTAGAACGTATCCACGATGGCCAATTGCAAGCCATGAGCTAAGCATAACTGATGTATGCAGTTTAAATTTCCTCCTAGTTTTGTCATAACAGAAGCTCCATCAGATATAATGGCGATCACATCAGTGTCAAAATCTAATTTAAATTCGTGTAGCCTTTCTCGCAGGTATTCTTCACACTTGATAGCGGTAACAGAGCCATACGTCCTACATAAACCAAGATTTCTCGTCGTGTGGTGGTTACCTTTGAAAAATGCACAGTGAAGATTCACATTCATATATCGCCTATTTCTTGAAGATGTCCATTCATCTATTAAAACCGAAAATTTGTGTCCTTCATCCTTTAGTTCCTGTATTTCCTTTATAAGGTTTTTCTTAGTCTTATCATAAAACTTTATAGTCACATCTTTTATAGTATTTGCGCTCGTAGGTAATTTATAACCAGCTTTTTTAAATAGATGCTTCAGGTCTTCAGATTCTGTAAATGCCCTGTATGGCATACCGTCAAGTGCTGTCATTCTTGATACCATAACATCCAATGATCTGTTTGATTGTGAGAAGTAGTCGGTCATTCTGCAATTTTTCGCTGAAACTGGTGACTCCAATAAAGAGTTATCATTTTTTCTTTTGGAAGTCCCAGCAGTTTCCCTAGCTACTTCTGAAGCAAGCCTTTCGCTGTCAAGTGAAATATTATGTAATCTTAAATGGCTGCGTAGTCCTGTTGTAGTACCACCCGCACACTTAATAACTTTTTCACATGTTTTACATTTTGCAGAATCATCCGTATCGGCCTTTAGGAAATGATACCAAACCGACGTTGGATCGGAACTTTTTTTGTATACAGGAATGTAGTTTATTTATTACACACGCAGTATTTGACATTATTGATTAATTCACTCGTTGCAGTAAGTACCTAAAACAAAAGATATTTTTAATATTCACACTACTAATAATATTATGATTCGAAATTCGAAGCTACGGGCAACACTGGTAGACTGAGACACACTGAGACGTGATCTCGATAAAAATACGGTAATTTGGTAATACTGCGAATGATATTTAAGTATTGTGTAAGTAAATAAACTTTTAAACACACTACGTAACATTTAAATAACGTGTGCCTACCTAAAGCTAAAATATTACATAAAATTACCTACTTATATGACTGACCACTGTGGGCTATGAAGTAAAGAAGATGTATGAATATGAAGTGGGCTTATAAAGCGAACGTCAAACAAGTACATAATATAAAAAATCTACTTAAAATCTATCTATCTAGATTATTTTACTTACCTACTGTAAATCCTTTAGCGTCGTGTCGACAAAAAAGCGAAGCACGCTCAACAGAACACAACGCAACCAACCAAACATCACACCACACTGGATCACACTGAACAAACTTCCCACGCCGCGCTTAATGGCGCGTTCTGTCCTGCACGCGACTGCGCACTTGTGTTGGTCATGAAATGAGTGAGCAAGAGAGCTATAGACACGGGCTAGTGGAATGCCACTGCACGCAGCGCGAATTCCAAAAAATAACTCGCGGTAGTGATGGAAATGATTGCATAAAACCTTTATGAAATTATCGTTTATCGGTATTTTTAAGAAATTTTTCGATAATTATCGGTGAAAAAAATGAACTGATTACCGATAAATTATCGGTTATTGATTATCGGTTTGCATGCGCTAATACCAAGATAGTTAAAGAGCAACAAAAATGACGTCATCATTCTTCATGGGTTCAGTGACGCGTCGATGAACGCATACGCTTGCGCAATTTATTGCAAGATAGTTCGTGAAAAACAAGAGGGAAGTAAAAACATATCCGTCGTCCTCGTTACAGCAAAATCCAGGCTAGTACCACCGAAAAAGAAGATCAGCTTACCTCGCTTAGAACTGTGTGCAACCCTACTTTTATCAAAGCTCATGGAAAAGGTGAAATCGTGTTTGGCAGATTACAATATCAAAATGTTTGGATGGTGTGATTCGACAGCAGTATTGGGTTGGCTGCAAGGAGATCCGAAACGCTGGAACGTTTTTGTAGCCAACAGAGTAGCTAAGATCACAGAAGTTTTACCGCCGGAATGTTGGCGCTATGTCAAGTCGCAGGATAACCCAGCTGACTGTGCCAGCCGAGGAATCAGCACGAAACAGCTTCATCGACATCAGTTGTGGTTGCATGGACCAGCGTGGTTATCATACTCCGACGATGATAACGTAAAGAAGATCACTTACATCACCGATGAAGAGGTCAAAACCATAAAGCAAGTACACACCACAATCTGCTCAAGCGAAGACGACGTCATTACCCAATTAATAAGCAAGCACAGCAGTTTCACGCGAGTGACACGAATATTAGCCTACATACTACGTATAAAGCAAAATAATAAGCAAAGCTATTTAACAGCACAAGAATTACAAAAGGCAAAGCAAAAAATTATCAAGCACGTACAAAGCAAGGAGTTTGGAGAAGATATCGGCTATTTACAAAAGTATAACAAAGCAAGGCCAAATAGCAAATTATTACCTTTAAATCCTTTTATCGATTCTGAAGGTATGTTGAGAGTAGGTGGTAGACTGCAAAACGCTTCGATCAGCAAAGAAATGATGCATCCCCTTATCATCCCCCACGAGAGTCACCTGACACACCTACTCATTGATCAAGCCCATAAAATATATCACGGAGGAGCCCATGTCACCTTAGCGTGGCTACGACAACAGTATTGGGTCCTAGGTGGGAACAGAGCAATCAAAAAACGCTTGCGCAACTGCGTAACCTGTAAAAAACACAACCCTACAAAACATTATCAGCTTATGGGCGATCTTCCTGAAGCAAGAATAATTCCGTCGAGACCATTTCTTGCTGCAGCTTGGGACTGAGGACTGACGGGAATGGGACTGCAGGGGTGGATTTTTCAGGTTTTGTGGACGTAAAATCAAGTAAAGGCAGAGGAATCAATACCTTTAAAGGATACATAGCAGTGTTTGTTTGTATGGTCACAAAAGTCATACATCTTGAGTTAGTATCCGATTTAACTTCATCAGCATTCTTAGCAGCATTAAGACGAATGGCGGCGAGGCGTGGCATACCACATCACATTTACAGCGATAATGGTACGAATTTCGTTGGTGCCAACAGAATCATCAATCAAGAAGTAATTGATCTAAAATCCATTATCACAAATGAGTTCTTATCAGAAATAAGCGAAATGAATATCACATGGCATTTCAATGCTCCATCATGGCCCAGTGTGGGGGGTCTGTGGGAAGCGGCTGTGAAGAGTCGCTGTCCACACACCATCTTCGCAGGGTCATCGGCGAACAAAAACTCACCTTCGAGGAGTTCTCAACACTGCTAACACAGATAGAAGCCTGCCTTAATTCCCGACCGCTCTGCGCTATCACTGAAGATCCAAATGATATCAATTACCTGACTCCATCTCACTTTCTGGCCAGCGGTCCAGTTTTAAGTATCGTGGAGACAGAGAAAGACGAAAGAACACGTTGGCATATGACGCAGAAGATATTCAATGATGTTTGGAAGCGCTGGAAGTCTGAATATCTGACAGCATTATCCACCAGGAACAAGTGGCAGCAATCAACTGAAAATATCAAAATTGATGACATTGTAATCATTCATGAAGCAAACCTACCTGCCGGGAGATGGGCATTAGGGAGAGTTATCGATGTTCACCCTGGCAAAGATGGATTAGTCCGAGTAGTTACTGTTAAAACAAAAAACGGGACTATTAAGAGACCTATCACGAAATTAACCATTTTACCAACTCAGTCTGAAGCAAACTATTAGAATCCCACAAACTGTCAATCAAGTCCGAAAAACAATCAAGAATTAAGTTTGAAAGCAGATCACAAAAACGACAAACCAGAAAAAGCACGATCTAGTATCAAACTTTGTAATTTTATCATGTACACCCTGCTTATTTTTACGTTATTCGCACAAACAGCACAAGGAGCATTTAATGTAACAAATTTTAAGGATACCCAGAGTTTATACTTCGATAAAACATCAAACATGAGGCTTATCCGAGATGAATGGAAAATCATTGTTTATTACGATTTAGATCCATACTGGCAAGGTTCGAAACTACTAAAAACATATATCACTCACCTCGAAAACATATGTTCCAAATTGCAAGAGCCACAGCAATGTGACATAATCCTATTACAATTACGACACGGGAGCACCGAGTTACACTACTACGATCAGCTGTTGCTTGGTCAGCAGTCGGCGGCGGGAATACGAGTACGTCGCGGGCTTATCAATGGCGTGGGAAATGTCGCGCATGCACTATTCGGCGTACTTGACAATGACTTCGCTGAACAATATGCAAAGGACATTGAACTCATTAGAAACAATCAATACCATCTCGTAAAATTATGGAAAAATCAGACATCAGTAATAGAAGCACAATATAACTTTTTAAAAAGATTAGAAACAACAATTGACCAACAACACAAACTCTTCCATCAGCATATCAATAAATTAGGGCAAGAAAACTCTGTTATTAAAGAAGAGATACAAAAATTAAGAGCTAGCAACGAGTTTACCTTATCATCTGTAATATCAAACAACATCTTAGTTAATTTGAAAAAGATACAAAATACCTTGCTCTATGTTGTTACCGACATTTATCAGGGGAAATTTGATATACATATACTATCACCTGAACAGTTACAAGATGAGCTTAGCATCATTTCTGGACATTTAGCAAAAGATCTATCTTTGCCTATAGATGATATACACAACGGCGTATCAAAATTGTATCATTTACTGAGAGTAAAGGTCAAGGTCACATATCAAAACCTTTTACTCGAAATTAAAATACCACTTTTAACCAGAGAAAGCTATGACATCTACAGAGTTTTACTTATTCCTCAATCATACGACAATAAGATGATAAACATAATTCCCATCTCTGATTACTTTGCTGTAAACATCCAAAGAGACTCATACATACCTATGGCTGAAGCCGAAGTACAATCATGTCTACATTCAGACCTCACCACGAAACTTTGTGAGTTACGAGGTCCTGTTTATCATATGCAAAATGATCAAAATTTGTGTATCAAGAATCCTTCAACAGACCAATGTCTCACTAATATTAACAGTTGTAAAAATTCATGGAATGCGCTTGGCACTATAAACACATACTTATTTTTCTGCTGCGAACAATGTACTCTTCGAATCATATGCGGCAATCAAGTTACATCGGAGCGCGTCAGCAAGGCCGGCGTTTTATCAGTCGGGAATAATTGCGTGCTCAAGGGAGACGCATTCATAATCTATCCACACAACTATCACATCTACACAATGCACGCACACCCCGATTTATTAGCCATAGATATTCCACCTATCAACAACATAATCAACTTGACCATACCTATCAGTAAAGGTGAGATAAGCCAACCAGAGGAGAGAGAACGACAAGGGTCCTTGAAGGAGATCGGGCGTCAAATCGATCAAATGAAAAAAGAAAACATAGATGTTGAAGTGAATCAGCTGTCAACCCACGACTTACACCACTATGTCGTTATCTACGTGTTAGTGGGA